TGTTTTATATTAGTTTTACCCAAGCTTTCCATATACCTAAGAATTTTTTTTAATTTTCTAATTATATTATGTGCAAGGTATAATATATTTTAATCAACCGCATTGGATAACTGTGAATTTCATTTGATCATGTGAATTGACTCAATTTATTGTGTCAATAAGAATCTTTAATAGTCGTGTTGAATCAACATTTAGGAGAAGGCGGTAGAATTTTTCGGAAAATATTTGCCTTTTTTGATGTTTGGGATTTGAAATGCAGATTCTTATAATTCTAACGCAGCGTAAGAATATTTCAAAATGAGCCACGCTCACTCTAACGCTCACGAATCTCGTAAGTCTGTCAAGTCACTCTGAATCCGGGTTGACCTTAGCTATTGACCTGTATATGTGTTTCGGTCATATCTGTCGGTAGACACAAAAATGGAGCTCTTATTTATATGTTATCGAGTTATTAAGACCTCTGATTCCCGGATGCTGTCCGTACGCTGCTCTACCGGCAAAACATTGTGCCATTAGATAGGGCCTTGGTCATCGCTAATGTAGAGAGCCAGAACGAAAGAACTAATGAAATAATGATAGAACTAATGAGCCTATACTATATCTGAAAAAGAAACTCATATGCTTTTCCGCATTTTGGGAGTTTTATGCTAAAAAAAGTCGTCACACCTTCAAAATAATTAAGATCGGTTTTAACAATTTTACAAAATGTAGAAAAAAGTAATAAAATAAATAAATAAAAACTAAATAATTTTATAACTATTTTATTGAGACCAATTAGGTTAAGGCAGTTTTAATGACATATATCACTTTTCTGTAGGTTCACTAGCTTAGAATTTAAAGCCGTGCAAAGTTTCGCTATTTTTAGCGATTTCCCGCTAAATAAGCTATTTTTTTTTTTAAATTCGTAGATCAAACATTTTGGTTACTATCTACCCAACACAATAAAATTTATTGCAGAAATGTAAAACAAGTCCATAAAATTTTTTGAAATTGACAAATATACACGAACAGATTTTCATTTTGGGATATATTAAAAAAAAACATTTTTGGAATTATTTTTTTTAATCCAAGCAATAGGGTGTCATTCGACGCGTATTTTCAATAAAATGCAAAAAAAAAATGAGTATGTTATCAAACCGGGCTCAAGAGCTACACTGACAAATATTTTTAGTATGTGACTTTTACCGCCCTTTCTCTTGAACCAATTAATCTTTCTTGGTATGCAATATCTATTCTTTTATCGATACCTTTCGATTGGTGTATTACTCCTTACGATCGGACCATCACAGCAGATTTTCAATTCTGCGGCTATATATAGTGGTTTCCATTGCACACGCTCTTGTTGCGCATCGTCACTACATGTACTGCCGTCAAAAGTGATAGTCGTCCAATCCGAAAGGTATCGCTAAAAGAATAGGAATTGTATACCAACACTTTAGGAATATTAGTTGGTTCATGAGTAAAGTGACATACGTAAAATTTTTTTAAGTGGAGTTGAGCCCGTGTTGGTCAAATATTTCAACTTTTTTAGCACAATTGAATTTTTGTTTGAAACCGATCCGATGCTCCGGTCAAAAGACATTAAAAATACTTTATAATGTAAATCTCAAAATGAAAATTTTTTAATGTCTGTTTGTCAGTTTCAAAAAATGTTGAGAACTTGTAAAGTTCTGAAAAAAATCTTTATGTGTTGGACAGGTCGTACAAAAAGTTTGTTCTACGACTTTATGAACAAGTTTTTTTTTTGGCGGGAAATCGTTAAAGACAGCTAAACTAAATGTTTTTGCACATAAATAGAAATTTAATATTTTTTGAGAAAATTTAATTTTTGCTGCAAGGGTGTCTAAACTTCGGTCTGCCGAAGTTTGCTTTTTTTTTTTGTTGTTTTTTATTTTTTTTTTTAATTTTTATTTTTTATTTTGCAACGGTGATCCCGAAAGGGTTAAGAAAATCACGTTTTATTTTCTTTAGTTGTGTTTTATCTATAAAATAAATAACGCTATTTTTAAAAAAACACGGCACCACGTAAATTAATCATGGATTTGGTCGAGAAGGACGTCAGGATCGTTAACAAGAGCAATTCTATCCAAAGAGCAGTCACTTGGAGTATAAGTCACGTACTTCGGGTTGAAACGATTAAAGTAATACCCCTACACTTTGAGCCGTTTAAATTTAGTAGTTTATCCCGGCCACAAAGATCTAAGTCACTTTTTAAGATAGGTCGGATTCTAATACTTTCTGGCAGAAAATGTTCTTATGCTGCAGACATAATTTAATCTCATCTGAGCACATTAGTACGCGAGAATGACTTATAACTAAGGGGAAGAGGGCCCTGGCGAATAAACTGCTTAACACGCTGAAGATCTAATACCAGAGAACTTTCGTTCAAGGTGGGACAGAAAATTAGGTTCGTTGAATGAGCTGAGGTAGAGGTAATGAGCTGAGGTAGAATAAGTCGCTTGAAAAAATTGTCGTCTGATCTGTATTTACTGACGTGTTTTATTATTAGATTTACGCTAAGTGCCAACAAATTTATAAAACTGCTCAGGGTCCTGCGAGAACTGCACTCACAACGACTTAAATAATTTTTAAAACACTGAGCATTAAGAACGGTATGTCTTGACCGAGCACTTCAAAATTAAGAAAATGTTAATAGATAAGCAGGAAGCAGCAAAAATGGTTATTTGCTTTATTGCCGGTATATGCTAATGGTAAACCCATTTAAATTTTGCTTAGGTTCGGTTCGGGGTTCGGACCTTAACGATTGATAATGTTCCGGCTTAGGACCCGGTTTGTCGATATGCTCTAACCGGGTTAAGGTCCGAACCGGGGCTAAACAAAAAAAATATATTTTTTAAGTTAAATAACAATGCCATTTTTATTTTCATTGATTTGCAAAAAAAAATCTTCCCAAATCAAAAACACTCTTGTTAGATTAAATCAAAAGAAATAAGAAAGAGATAAAATATCGTGACCATCGCACTTATATAATTTTGTTACGAAAATTTTTAAGCATTTGAGTAAATAAATAAACATTTTAAATGTTCGTCCCGGTTTAAAGAAAAATTTAAGCATTCTGTCCACGCGGGTAATTTCTTATGATATGAACAAACAATTATAAAAATAATATTTTATAAGAGAAAAGAAATAAAAAAAAGTTAGTTTTTTAACCGAATCCGGTTCCGGTTCATTTTCGAAATAAATCGTGGTTCGGTTCGTTAGTTAGTTTTAAAAAAATCTCCCCAAACCAAAAACAATCTTGTAAGATTAAATCTATAAAGAAATACATACAAGAAATAGTTCACAGTTAAACAAGGCACATTAATGAAATTATAAATTAATTTACATTTATTACATTTCGACAACAAAACATGTACTTAAAATTTGCAAAGTGTTCTCTTAGGCAACACTATAGGTCTATCACCAAGGAAGCTTTTGTTTATGTTAAGATATCTGAATTATATATATCTGAATCTGCATATACCCTTGCAGCTATTGCAAAAATTAAATATTCTCGAAAACATTAAAATAATGATTTGCTTGCGTTTATGCTTAAAACCATTGAAGCTATGATGATTTGCACTCAGTTATTTGATAGTTCCTATCGCAGCTATATTATATCGTTTTCCGATTTTTATAAAATTAAATCCGTAATTCTGAATTGTCAAATTATTAATAAGTCAAAAAAAAAAAAAAAAACATAAAAAAAAGTAAAATTTAAAAAAAAAATGTTGTAATATCTTTATTGTTCCAATGGGATTTTTATGTTATAGTCTTCCGATTTTGATTAAATTTAAATCGTTATTCTGAAATATTTAACCATGATTAAAGTCGGAGAACTAAAAAAAAAATAAAAAACAACAAAGTTATAATATTTTTAAATTTATATTACCGAATGTTCCAATGGGAGCTTTATGCTATAGTCGTCCGATCCGGCTCGTTAAGTCTTATATACTACCTACAATAAAAGGACAATTTTTGGGAAAGTTTCATGCAGATAGCTTTAAAACTGAAAAACTAGTTTGCGTAGAAATGTGCGGACAGACTGACGGACATGGTTAGATCGACTCTCAGGGTCGGAAACGTCTCCTTCACTGCGTGGCAAACTTCTGACTGAAATTATAATACCCTTTGTAAGGGAATAATAACACAAACGTTAAAAAATAAATAAAACAAGAATGACCTCTATAGTCGAGTTTCCCGAATATTAGATACCCGTTACTCAGCTAACAAATTTCAAACAAAATATTCGCCCCATATTTAAGAAACAAATTCTAACGCAGTTTTTCAAAAGTCTAGGCTGAACATTTTTTGAGTGTGTCCGCCCACGAATACAAAAATGTTCGAAACATAAGTGGTTAAATAATGGAGAAAACGACGTGGTTTGTAGATAATGCAGAAAAATAACAATAGAAAATAAAAATAATGGAAAAATATCATGCTTCTTTTACTGAAACTTTATTGTGTATTTTGATCAGGATTATTAGTCGGGTCGATTTGACAATGTCTGTATGTCTCCCCATATGAAAGTCAATATGTATTTCATGTAATGTATGTATGTTTGTTGGCTGAGTAATCTTATTATCGGGACTCTTGACTATAGCGTTTTTTCTTATTTTGTCTTACTTTTAGTCTTTGCTGGTCTCGTTTTTCTTTTGTTTTCCTTTCTTTCGTCAAAGAAATGACCATAGCCGAACGATATAAATGTGCATTGCTCCTTTAAAATTCTTGAAATTTTAAATTTCTTTTTTCCTATTTTCTAATACCCTACCCTTGTGTTAGGACTCAGCAAGAAATACATTAAACTTATTGCGGCTATTCTTCTATATTTTAACTTTATCACACAGAGTACAACTTTTAAAGACTGTTGGGACTTGATGATCGAATTACTGGCACGGAGGAAGGTTCAAAGGAAAAAGATCGCAGCAAAGTGCCTTGTTAGTGTTGCGAAAGGTGTTAAACGCGCTGTAACTGGATGTATAAAAATCTAATAACATTACCTGCCAATATATCCTGCTTGCGCCATCATTCCATTTCTATCATCCATGACTCTTTGCGGTTGATTATTTACAACTTTTCCATCATCATTACCTTTCCAGGTCCCATCATCTTCTTTGAATGATTGGCTTCTGCAAGGATATAGACATATAATAAGCAAGACATTTAATTTTAAAAACCGGTTAATAGCATGGAAGCAATAAAAAACAAAAATCAATGACATTATAGGTGACAGGGATGTATATTAGGCATCTCAAGTGGCCTGCACTTACATATTACACGTGCTTAGAACTGCACCCATGTAAATTATGGCTCTAGAACGATTAACATGACATACCCAGAGCTCACAAAATTTTGTACTTTAAGAATATTTGTGTTCTTCTGAACATTCTGCCAAGGGCCGGCAAGATTAGGTGTATTAAACATATAAGGTCAAGTAAAACGTAATCCAATATTTGAACAATAGATGAGTTTAGTAATCTGTATCTCGATATGTATATGTTTGCGCACTTGGCGCGTGTATTGAAGTCACTAGCTGTAGGGCGAGAGCGGGAGCCAATAAAGCTTCCGTCCGTTCGCTCTTGCGAATTCGCCCCGTCTTTCGCCACCTTAGCATAAGTTAGGTTCTAAGAGAAACTATTGGAACATTAAATTAAGTGATCATTTGAACTTCATCGAAACCACTCCCTTCGTCGTCGCATTTTCGCACAAGTTTTACACAAGTTATTATGGCAAATAAATTATCCGAATCCCACTGCAGTCACACAAGTTTCGCGTTCGTTAATACAAACTAGTATTGAATTTTCATGGTGACCCCGACCTGATCGCAGTAGATTTCGCGATTTGTTTACCAATTTTTTCAGTGAAAAACTATAAACATTACCAATAATACCCAAAACCAATTTCTTCGTGTCGGTTCGGCCAATAAATAAAATTCAACAATATTTCGTCGCTGGAACTTTTCTACCGTTCCTTTGGTTGTTGCCCAAGCCGTTCTTCATCGACGCTGCAACTTTAATTGTTTAACTTGCTGCGTCAGCTGGAGCATGAAACTTAAAAAGATAGTTGCAATTGTCGAGTCGGCCATCCAGGTATAGAGTGCTAAAAGTTGAAAGTTAACCTGTGGCGTTTTGTCAATTGTGTTTTGCCCATCTTTCAACTTTCTGCATTCGTGTAAAAATCGGTAGATAGTGAGCATTCTAACCAAGAAATAAAAATTTGCATGTACTAACAACCAAAATTCTGCAATAAACATGATATATTTTGAATTATGGATTTAAAGATGAATCGCTTTGCCGCATAAACAAGCAAATAAAATACTCGTCGTCGACCCAATTAGTGCAAACTTAATTCCCCCAACTTTCGTCGTAGTGAGCACCAATCTAGGGTATAAATAAAACAGCTGGAAAAAAAGTGCAAATTGTGGAAAGTGTAGTTCCCAAAAATAAGCGGCAATAATTTTCGTCGCAGCTTGTCTAAACATTTTCTTGCGCTTTTCAGAATTTTCCCGCGCTTTTCCGATTTCCCCGCGCTTTTTATAATTTTTGCGCGCCTTTCGGCATCAGGCTTATATATTCGTTGTCCTTAGATATCGGTCAGTGTATCATTCTCCGTTAGCATTTGCCTAGAAAGAGCCGCTAGCGACTGCCGCTATTTCGAGTTATCATTGGTCGTTTTCGTGCTCGATCGCTGCAGCAGTGCAATTTTCGGTCTGCCTAAACGTTTATGCGTGCGGCATACAACTGTTGTAGGGTTTATATAAAAAATATAAAAACCCTATTTAGATATTTTTCGCTGTACTCTCGGCAATTACCTCCCCTACACTGTGTGCGATCGGTATATTACTCGTTGATTTTTTAATTAGATAAATAATTTAATAAAAATAAATATTTAACACCTCTTCGATACCAACAAAGTAAATACAAATAAACGCAATGGCAACTAAGGATATCGAAGAGCTTAAACACCAACGTGATGTTTGCATGAAAAGTATTAACCGAACTTATCACAATTTAAAAGAAGCTAAGTAATCAGTAAATCCGGTCGAGCTTGAGTGTCAATTAGAGATTCTAAATACGCACATTAAAAATGCTTCACTTTTGCAAAACCAAATAGAAGTGACAGATACAAAAGATGTATACCGCGAAGAGTTGGAAGACAGAGCCGTAATGACAAAGTCATTGCTGATTTCGATTTTAAATAAGTGCAAACAAAATAATATCGAGAAATCCGCGCCGCCAGCAAATCGCCCACCTCAATGCCGTCTACCGAGCGTTGCTCTCCCAAATTTTAGCGGAAAACACTCCGAATTTAAAAATTGTATAAACCTTTTCCAAACTTTCGTTGACAAAGACGACACTGTACACGATATTGAAAAATTCTGGAATTCTGGAAACCCTTTGGGAACAGTTTGAGCCTTTAAAGTCACTGCGGAAAATTATCCCAAAGCCATTGCTTGCCTGAAGCGGGAGTACGATAATGATTGTCATATTTTTTTTGACAACATATCGACACTTTTTAATTTACAAAAAATATTCCAGCCTTCAGCTACAGCCTTGAGCACCCTCGTCGGTCACAGCCTTGTACGACTGCTTGTTGTCTATTGGGGATGATAGACGCATTACTAATGCTATTTTAATAATTCTGATAATGAGCAAGGTCGATGCAGGAACTAAAAGAAAATGAGAAGAACAGTTAGATTATACTTCGCTTCCATTTTGGAGCGAATATGAGGCGGCCCTCAACAGGCGATACCAACACATGGTAGAGGAAGAGGCTTCCAAGCCCAAAACTGTTCGGCAGACCCAATCTAACCCTAAGAAGAATAAAAATAGGAGTTTTTCGTTTGTCACTGCCAGGAACGACTCTCTTCAATGCGTGAATTGCAACTCAGCTGAACATCAGATTGGAAACTACGCTTCCTTCGCAGCCCAATATTCGATTTCGCTAAAAGAGCACCCTTATGCATTAACTGCTTAAGAAAGGGTCACACGGTCAAAAAATGCAAATCGAACAGATGTATGCAATTCCTCACATCACACTTTGCTACACATGTATTCCCCAAACACAAATCTCGCGTTGTCTCCATCCACGTCGCATGTTTTGCATGCGAATGCATCGGATCGAGTCATTCTTGCAACTGCTGTTATGAGCGTCCAAGCCAAAAGTGGCGAGTCTGTATTAGCTCGAGCGTTGCTCGACTCTGGTTCACAAATAAATTTTGTGACCGATGAGCTCGCTCAGAGGCTCAAAATTACAAGAGATGACGTGTGCATGAGCTTGCCAAGGATTGGTGGAACTAATGTCCAAGCCACAAAAAAAAAAATACACACGATTGTGAAGTCGCGAGTAGGGAAGTTATCTACCCATTTTTGGATTATGAAAAATATTTGTGGTTATCATCCGGATCAAGCGGTGAACACCAGCGGGTGGAGGGTGCCTGAAAATATTCAGTTGGCAGATCCATTCTTCTTCAAAAAAATAGATATGCTTATCGGCGCTGATACATTCTTTAAACTTTTATCTATTGGCTAGATAAAGCAGGGGCCTATGTAAATTATGGCTCTAGAACGATTAACATGACATACCCAGAGCTCACAAAATTTTGTACTTTAAGAATATTTGTGTTCTTCTGAACATTCTGCCAAGGGCCGGCAAGATTAGGTGTATTAAACATATAAGGTCAAGTAAAACGTAATCCAATATTTGAACAATAGATGAGTTTAGTAATCTGTATCTCGATATGTATATGTTTGCGCACTTGGCGCGTGTATTGAAGTCACTAGCTGTAGGGCGAGAGCGGGAGCCAATAAAGCTTCCGTCCGTTCGCTCTTGCGAATTCGCCCCGTCTTTCGCCACCTTAGCATAAGTTAGGTTCTAAGAGAAACTATTGGAACATTAAATTAAGTGATCATTTGAACTTCATCGAAACCACTCCCTTCGTCGTCGCATTTTCGCACAAGTTTTACACAAGTTATTATGGCAAATAAATTATCCGAATCCCACTGCAGTCACACAAGTTTCGCGTTCGTTAATACAAACTAGTATTGAATTTTCATGGTGACCCCGACCTGATCGCAGTAGATTTCGCGATTTGTTTACCAATTTTTTTCAGTGAAAAACTATAAACATTACCAATAATACCCAAAACCAATTTCTTCGTGTCGGTTCGGCCAATAAATAAAATTCAACAATATTTCGTCGCTGGAACTTTTCTACCGTTCCTTTGGTTGTTGCCCAAGCCGTTCTTCATCGACGCTGCAACTTTAATTGTTTAACTTGCTGCGTCAGCTGGAGCATGAAACTTAAAAAGATAGTTGCAATTGTCGAGTCGGCCATCCAGGTATAGAGTGCTAAAAGTTGAAAGTTAACCTGTGGCGTTTTGTCAATTGTGTTTTGCCCATCTTTCAACTTTCTGCATTCGTGTAAAAATCGGTAGATAGTGAGCATTCTAACCAAGAAATAAAAATTTGCATGTACTAACAACCAAAATTCTGCAATAAACATGATATATTTTGAATTATGGATTTAAAGATGAATCGCTTTGCCGCATAAACAAGCAAATAAAATACTCGTCGTCGACCCAATTAGTGCAAACTTAATTCCCCCAACTTTCGTCGTAGTGAGCACCAATCTAGGGTATAAATAAAACAGCTGGAAAAAAGTGCAAATTGTGGAAAGTGTAGTTCCCAAAAATAAGCGGCAATAATTTTCGTCGCAGCTTGTCTAAACATTTTCTTGCGCTTTTCAGAATTTTCCCGCGCTTTTCCGATTTCCCCGCGCTTTTTATAATTTTTGCGCGCCTTTCGGCATCAGGCTTATATATTCGTTGCCCTTAGATATCGGTCAGTGTATCATTCTCCGTTAGCATTTGCCTAGAAAGAGCCGCTAGCGACTGCCGCTATTTCGAGTTATCATTGGTCGTTTTCGTGCTCGATCGCTGCAGCAGTGCAATTTTCGGTCTGCCTAAACGTTTATGCGTGCGGCATACAACTGTTGTAGGGTTTATATAAAAAATATAAAAACCCTATTTAGATATTTTTCGCTGTACTCTCGGCAATTACCTCCCCTACACTGTGTGCGATCGGTATATTACTCGTTGATTTTTTAATTAGATAAATAATTTAATAAA